TCTAAGTTCTATCCCCTGCGTTCTAAGTTCTAAGTTCTATCCTCTGCATTCTAAGTTCTAAGTTCTATCCTCTGCATTCTAAGTTCTATCCCCTGCGTTCTAAGTTCTAAGTTCTATCCTCTGCGTTCTAAGTTCTAAGTTCTATCCTCTGCATTCTAAGTTCTATCCCCTGCATTCTAAGTTCTATCCCCTGCGTTGTAAGTTCTATCCCCTGCGTTCTAAGTTCTAAGTTCTATCCCCTGCGTTCTAAGTTCTAAGTTCAATCCCCTGCGTTCTAAGTTCTATCCCCTGCGTTCTAAGTTCTAAGTTCTATCCTCTGCATTCTAAGTTCTAAGTTCTATCCTCTGCATTCTAAGTTCTATCCCCTGCGTTCTAAGTTCTAAGTTCTATCCTCTGCATTCTAAGTTCTATCCTCTGCGTTCTAAGTTCTATCCCCTGCGTTCTATGTTCTATCCCCTGCGTTCTATGTTCTATCCCCTGCGTTCTAAGTTCTATCCCCTGCGTTCTAAGTTCTATCCCCTGCGTTCTAAGTTCTTAGTTCTAACCCCTATGTTCTACCACTACCTGACCACCTTCGCCTACAGCCTGTTTATCTCTACCGCCCTCCACACTTACCTTTCACACCTACCTTCAAGTGCGGTCGAAGTTCTGATGTTGACAAAGCAAGACACACAACGCTGTTAAATGACACAAGTATTTGTTTATTACAACACTGTTTCCACCAGACACGTCTCCTACAAGCATACAGATGCACGCTACGTCATCAACTACACATTGAGAAGCAGAACATGGGTACCCATATTCATCACAATTCCAAGACTTAGTTTATAGGCACAGCATACATTCATCCATACATCCATACATTCTGAACACGGCACAACACAATTTATAGCTGCAGCACACGTGTACTCTGTACAGCCGTAACACATGTTTTACATGTATGTCACACTAACCAGAGAAAGGTCACCAAGAGTCCATGCAGTACTCGTGACATTGCATTTCCACAAACACTGTATACTGCAACCCACTGCAAAAGCAGTGCAGATCTCAGCCCATCCAAAAGAAAGTGCAATTCTCGGAATGGCCACAAGGGGGCGCGAGTCTCAGAGTGGCCGGGAAGGAAAACAAATCGCCTCCGACGGCCCTTGGTTACGGGGTTGGGTTAGCCCTGCCTAGGAACAAACAAAGCAAAGCTAACCCAACCCCGTAAGCAAGACAAAGCTAAAGCCAATTATGCTTACGTTAATTGAATGCAAAGCCAGAGCCAATTTGGTTGATGCAAAATGATTCCAAGGCTGAAGCCGATTTGGTTGAAGTAAATCAATTGCACGCACTGAAATCAACTCAATTCTCGGAATGGCCACAAAGGGGCGCGAGTCTCAGACTGGCCGGGAAGGAACAAAATCGTCTCCAACGGCCCTCAGGCGTTGGTTACGGGGTTGGGTTAGCCCTGCCTAGGAACAAACAAAGCAAAGCTAACCCAACCCCGTAAGCAAGGCAAAGCTAACACCAATTTGCTTGAGATAAATTGAATGCAAAGCCAAAGCCAATTAGATTGATGCAAAATGATTCCAAGGCTAAAGCCGATTTGGTTGAACTAAATTGAATGCAAAGCCAAAGCCAATTGGATTGATGCAAAATGATTCCAAGGCTAAAGCCGATTTGGTTCAGGTACACTGATTGCACGTGCTGAAATCAGCGCAATTCTCAAATTGGCCACAAAGGGGCGCGAGTCTCAGACTGGCCGGGAAGGAACAAAA